ATGATTGCAGGTGTTTATCCCTGTTTTGGAACGTTCGTCATTGGCTTCTCGTCCAACTTCAGCTTCCATCCCTGAAGATAATAGTATATGATAGCATGATAAAGTACATATCACTGTCTGATTTGAGAGATATTATCAAGGGATGGAGCTCTCATTTGGCTAAATTCTTGGATGGGATTAATTATTGGACTCATTCTGGACACAAGAAGCCAAAGAAGTTCAATGTCACAGTTGTCAGAGATGAGACCGTGCCACAACAATCGCTGGGAGCCAGAGGGGATTGTGGTCCTCTCGTATACATGTGCTTGGCGCGTTTGACGACGGGAAGCACAGAGTTTCTACCTCCCACCGATAGAGATAGAGCTGCAGTAGGCTTGTGGTTTCGGCATTATATGGCTAGAGCAATATATTCGAGACGCTGCCTACCTGCATCCACGTTATGAAAGTATCAATTGTTAATTGGTAAGTCAAATGCAAGTTTCGTTAACATATATACTCCTTTTGGTTTGAAAATGTTTGGTTAAGTACCTAGAATTCAATAATTTGTTGTTTGTAGGTTTTAGATGTGTAGGAAGTCTTGTTTGAGCAAATGTTTGGTTTATGCAGGTTAATCCTTAAGTGAGCTGCGTGAAATGGATGTACGGGTGCAAAAGTTGATTCATTGATTCAATAATTGATGAGGAAATAAGAATTATTATTATTATTTGATTGTTTAATTGATTTGTAAAAAATGATTTGTAAATGTTGATTTGTTTAATTGATGTGTACATAATTCTTATTTGTGCTTGTTTAAATGATTGAAATGTAATAGTTGATTTGTTGATTTTCAATCTGCATTATGTTGAAGGCAAAACAGACTGTCGCAACACGAAACTAACTATCGCAACGAGAGAATCGCAATGCGAAATGAAAATCGCAACGAGAAAATCGCAATGCGATTTTCATTTCGCATTGCGATTTTCTCGTTGCGATAGCCATTTTCGCGTTGCGGTTGCCATTTTCGCGTTGCGATAGTCAAATGAATGTCTAATAAGTGATAACAACTGAACAGATCATAGCAATGTTCAAACTCAAGTTACTAATACATGCCTAAATGAAAATGTTAAAAGTGCACACATAAAATACACATAATACAACGTTTGCATTTAAAAATCACCTAAGTCAACAGTCTCAAAAGGTGAAGCCGGTTGTGATTGGGATTTTGAAGATGATTGCGATTTTGATTGCCTTATGCTTGACACTATATGAGCTTTGGATTTTGATGAGGATCCATATTTTGGTAGAGGAAAAGATGATTGTGATGGCACTGGTGAACCACATGTCAACCTTGTATGACCACTTTCCTTGCATTGACTACATGTTGATCTCGTTGCGAAAGTCAGAATCGCGTTGCGAAAGTCAGAATCGCGTTGCGAAAGTCAGTATCGCATTGCGATTTTGTATTATCGCGTTGCGATAGTCAGTATCACATTGCGATTTTCCAAATTCACATTGCAATTTACTTATTCGCATTGTGAATTGGGAAAATCGCATCGCGAAATTGGAAAATCGCGTTGCGAATCTGGAAACTGATTTGCGATAATGGAGATCGCGTTGCGAATTAGCGATCGCATTGCGATTTTGTTGGTCATTTTGGCAAATCCGGAAAAAGTTGGTTAAAATCGTATATTATATGGGATTTTTGGTCACTGAGGTTATTTTCTCTTTGATTTATCTCCGTCCATCAATCTTAAAAAAATATAAATTTATATAATTAGATTCTAACCATATATATACATTTTTTATAATTATGTGTGCGACGCAAGGAATATTGAGCTTGGTCCCCAAGGCATGAAGTGTATGTTTAATTGTTTATTGTAACAATCGAATCGAATCTCCAAATAAAGTATCTTCTTCAACCACCAAACTCACTGTTAGTTGTTGAATCGCTTTTCTAAAACAGATTTCTCTATCCTCTAACGTGTTCAATGCATTTTCTAGTTCGTCATCAATTATTTGACGACCGTGAAAGAGATGAGAAAAGATAACAAATATGATATAATTAATACTTAATACCAAAATAAATGTTTAAATTATGCTTCAAAAAATATTTTAGTGTCCAAGGATTTTTCGTTAAATATAGGCGTCTAATGTTTCAAACGTTATATTTTTAGGTGTCTGGATGTTAACCGCTGTTAAATATCTCTATTAAGTGAAAAATGTCACGTTATGATAATTTTAAGAATTTATTTAAAAATAAAAAAAATTATTTTTTTGTATTAAAAAAAAGAATCCTCGTTCCTATGCTCTCTCCCCTTTCTCCCTTCTCCTTCCCCCTTTCCCTTTCCATATCGCCAGCGGGCCAGCGATTACCGTCACCGCTACCATCATTAGTATCAACAGGGACCCCTAATCAAACCTCTATTGAATTTTTGTCGTAATATGCCACAATTTGTCGTGAAAAAGCATTTAAATGTTCGTCGAATACCGTCGTCATTCTTTGTCGATTTCAGTTGATTTTAACGTCCATAAGTCACATCGTCGTCATCATTCGAATCACTGTGTAATTTCGATCAATACCCAATCGTTTGACGATGACAATGACAATGAAAGCCATAGATAGCCAGAGATGGCTTGGGTTAGGAAATTAAAATTGGAAATTAAGAATTTAGATATTGGGGATTTTAGATTTAGGGATTTTGGGTGACAGTAAGGACTACGATTGATCAATAGGTGGGGGTCGACGGATGGGTGACCGTTCGGCGATGACCATGGTGGCTGGAGATGACCGACTACAGTGGATAATGCAACTGAGATCAGAGATTTTGTTTTTTAAAGTGCTTTTTATAATTTCAATAAAAATTAGATTTTTTTAGAAATAAAGTAATTTTATTTTTTAATTAAAAACAATATTTTTTATTATTAAAAAAATAAATGGCAGGCATTTAAAAGTATAACCGAGAAAACTTTAGACACATGTTTTTAATAAAAATTCTTTCGACATTAAACTATTTTTTCGAGACATAATTTAAGCATTTATTTTTGTACTAAGCCTATAATTAATTATATTTTTCTGACCTGTTACTATTAAACACAATTAAACATATTTTTGGTATATGATAGTGTCACGGACCGCGAGTCCACAACCGATGTCAACACACGAGAAGTAGCCCAAGATTACTTAAGTGGCGTTTTGGACCTTCCTGAACCCATGAAGACTGTCTCATTCCATGGAGATAAAGAGCCTTGCACATTTACGGCAGGAGGATCCTTGGTTTAATGCAAAATCCTCATGATTCTTTCCTTAAACTTTGTAATATTTTATCTAAGGCAACATATAACTAGCTTAATAGAGTTTCCTTAGTTAAGAGAAGATTTTGTAATCACAATCTCTTAATTGGGGGGATTTAGGAGATTGTATTCGATCTAGTTCGTTTATGTACTTAGATCTTTGTTGTTTATTGAGGGGATCTTCCACTATAAATATAGGTTTATCCTCCTCATTTGTACTCACTTAAACATTTTTTTAATTAACATAGCATTCTCTCAAAGTTTTTTTTTTGTCTTGCTTTTGTGTTAGTTCTCTTGTTATTTGCTTCCGTTGGGAATCTAAACATCTTTGTTTGGGTTGTTTTCAGACTGACTTACACCAATCACATAGAAAGCGACTAAAAATGTACGTTCGAGGCGTTGAAGTTCCAAGGGCGTGACAATAATCATTGCCTAGTAAAGATTATGAAATATTATTACGCTATATTATTGTTTCAAAGTCTTTATTTGAGTTTGGATTAATTTTTTCTTGAATCATATCGTGACGGGTATTATTTCAATTACTTCTTAACTATATATAATATCATTTGATTTTATAAATATTATTTATGTTAGTACTTCGTATTATTTGATTATATCTTGATAATTGAAGCTTTATTATTTGAATATATCAATTTTTCTTAATCATTTGTAAACATAACATCCTTCTGAATTTATTTATAAAAATGATATCTATTTTTGTTATGTAGAATAAGGACACATCTTATAAAAAGCACCAAAACAATCAAATAATTATGGCTTAGGGACTATTAATGTATTTTTATTAAGTCACTTGACTATTAAAAGTTACAAAATAGTCCTCCAATTATAGGGATTTGTTTTTTTGAGTCCTTTGACTAGTAGAAGTTACAAAATGATCACACAACTATTTATTATGGTCCAAACTTGACCTTTTTCGTTAAAAATTTTGACAACATTCTGAGTTGTACGTTTACCTACTGGCTGAGATATGATAAATTTGATCTCACAATATCAAACGACTATCATATCCTAATTAGCATGTTAACGTCCAACTCAGATAACCGTTATTTTTTTAATGAAAAATGACGAGTTTAGAGCATAATAAATAGTCAGGTGATCATTTTGTAACTTGTAATAGTCAATGAACTCAACAAAACAACTCCCTATAGTCGAAAGACCATTATGTAACTTTTAATAGTTAATAGGTTTAATAAAGTAATATCCTATAGTCAAGGGATCATTTATATAGTTTATCCAAAAATATAAAAGAGATTAAAGACGGTGCACTTACCCTTATTGACTCACTCTACTAGTTATGAGTTGTTTATTCAATTAAACGGTCCACATAATCACATTTCCGAAGCCAATGCTCCAATGGAGTGACGGATTCAGATACCTTCACCACTAAAAAAAACTCCTTAAATCACCACCACCATCGTAACAACAATACTTTTTGTTTTGTTTAAACCCTAAATAAAAAGCAGGCGGAATAGCCGAGAAAAAAGGAGCCGCTAATTACATCATGATAAAAACTTGTACAAAGACAATGGTAAAGATGAGTTCCCATTGTTGTCGACGTCTACTTACATGCACAATATGAACATTGTTTTAAGAACCTGCAAAACAAACACCTTTCTTCCTCCCCTGGACAAAAAGCATTTACCGGTACGTGAGATATAAAAGCTTCAAAATTTAACATGAAAACATTATCACCGGCGACCGGAGAGGGGAAGGGAGGGTAAACTTTAAAACGACGGCACGGCTCCAAAGCGGTCGGCTTCCACTTCCGTGTCCGTACGCTTCGCGAACCTTCCTTTGATCCTAGGCCGCATCTCTGCGTACGCCTTTCTTGAGGCGTAACGGATCGTTTTCTCGAATTTTCTGTTCTTTCTTTTCTCTCTGTACCTCAGCACCCTCGCTTCTCTTTCCGCCGGTGATGGTTGCACCACCGTCTGATGTGTTGACTCTGTCCCTTTGCTGTACGGGTTTGATATGTCAGTCATCGTGCTTCCGTCTGGGACCACACCGACATCCAACGATGATGATGTTACCTGCAAATCAATACAAGAGAACAAAATTCAGATTTTAATTAAAAAATGACTTCCGAAATTTTCAAAGCTCTTTTGCTTACACCGTGACTTATAAAGTTTGGGTTGTAACCATAAGCAATGGGTTTGGATCCGGTGAGGTCCAAGTCGAAGCAGTGATCGTTGACGGCCGGAGCTCGAACACTTTTGCTTTGGACAGGGACCACTCCGTCGGTTCCAGAGCTGTTCTGTTCCTGGGCATCAAGTTTCGAATCCCCATGCCCGTAGTTCGGATCCAGATACGGGTACATCGCCGGGAACACGTACTGCCCCGTGTTCACGTTCGGGTTGTCCACGACCTTATAGTTAGGGTTTGGAAGCAGCCACGAGGCCGCCTCGGCTTCCTCTCTGCTGACGTCATCGTCGGGGAAGTAACTCTCGTCCAGAAAGTTAACGACCCCGTTTAGTGTGACGGCTGGGATGGAACCAACGGAGTCGAAGACGGGGGTTATGGGAAGGCGCTCGTGTCGGCGAGCGAGAGGGTTGGCGGAGTGGATGTCACGGTCGCAGGCGACGCAAAGAGCAGCGGCATCGGCCTTGCAGGTGACGTGAGCTGGTGCTTGCTCGCATACTTCACACAGCCAAACTCGTGCGTGACGCGAGGCGAGCTTGTTGGCGGCGTGGATCTTGGAGTCACAGTTGGAGCAGAGAAACGCCGAGTCAGCCCCGCAGAAAAGAGTCGCGGTCGCTGATTTGCAGGAATCACACAACTTGGACGCCATTTCAACAATTCACTTTGTTAAAAGTTGCCGTTTTCTCTCTTTCTTTGCTTCTGAGTTCAGCTTTCCTGAAACTACTTTTGGTAGGTTGAGTAACAGTGCAACACCGGTCCCGTGTGTAAGAAAATTAAACACTATATACAAATAAATATTATCTTTAGGGTTTTTTGTTTACTTCAGAATAATTAAGAGTTAAATGATTCAAATGTTGAATGATTCAGAGGCTCATGAATTGGCTCTGAATGTGACATGCTGTTTGATAATGAATCTGAATCATTCAGAATGTACTTCTGTGTTGAATTATTCAGCACTGAATCATTAGACACTGAATCATTTAGAGGTGCGAAACAAATGCGTTGAATGATGAACAATTTAACATTCATCGCTGAATGATTCTATTAAGAGACAAACAAACAATCTCTTAATGTGATTTTTGTATTTGATGATACTAACAATAAAGGGGTTTTCAATTTTTTAGAAGATTATGAACTCTGCTCGGTAAGTAGCATTGTGTCTTTAATTTGATGAAAGGGTTTTGATGTTGTTAAAGAGATGAGTAGAGTTTGAGTATTATTGAATTTGATTAAATTAAAAAATAAAAATTAAATCTTATTCATTTTGACAGTTTATAAATTTAAAATTATTAAATTTCACTAATTTCAAAATCAAAAATTAAAATTTGATTCAAGTTAAGACAAACTTGAACTTGAAGCATTCCTACTTATTTCGATTAAAGTTTGAATTCAAATTCAATTCAAACTCAATTTTCAACCTTAAGAACTTGACATATATATAGTGCATTTTTAAAAAAATAAAATATATATTAGTAATGATTTAATTTAAAAAATTTAAACTAAAAATATTATTTTTCTGGTAAAGTACACAAATGGTCACCCGACTATAAGAAATTGCATTGTTGAGTCTCCTGACTATCCAAAGTTATAAATAGCCCTTCGATTATAAGGTGTTGCTTTGTTAAATCTCTCGACTATTAAAAATTATAAAATGGTCATCTATTATTGAATAATTGAATAAAAATATATCATCATGGCTCATCAGTATCCAATAACAATCCCATTATTGTTGTTGTTTAACGCGGAGAAAGTTAATGCCCTAAACCTATTTGATATACGGCTCATTAAGGCCTTACTTCTCATACCCGAGCCCAAATTTGGCTTTTTATGGACAACCGTGCTAGGGTATATCCATTTAATTTTAAGTTTTTAACAATCATCCATCTTTTCTTTATTGAAAAATATCAATATTTTATAAATTATAATAATTTTAATTTTTTAAAAATCATTGTTTTCTTAAATTTTAAATATTATTTTTATAATTTTCCTTGAATTAAACACGTTACGAGTCACCCTTCGTCATCCCCTCGAGCCTTATCTTCTTTTTTTCGTTTAATCGTCTATTATAACAGACCAACCGTGAATTGAAGATCGTATATTAGTGAAGAAGCTTCTTTTAGAATATGAAACAATATATTTTTTATCTGGATTCTGTCTATTGATGGATGACGAAGTTCATAAAATAGGAAGTTGAAGTTTCAATTCCTGAATTTTGGGATGTTTTATTATTAAACACACATCAAATTCACGTTTAAGATAATAAAAAAAGGTTGAAGATAAATTTTAAGACAAAACAGTTGCCGTCCGATTGATTGTGATGAATGGTAATCGAAACTTGAACATATAGAGAATAGAAGATGAAAAAGAAAAAGAAAAAAAATGAGAAAAAGAGAAAAATAAGGGAAAATGTAAAAAAAAAAAGTTTTATAAGATTAAAAACGTCATTTTAGTACACACTTTACAATTTTAAAACGTCATTTATGTGTTGTCGGTTATGTCATAAAATTATTAACTATTTAATAGTAAAATGATAAAAATTCAGTGTCTAAAATATAAAAATTAAATTATAAATTTGAATAATCCAAACAAAAACTAATAAAATTAAGTGATTAAGTTTATAATTTATCCCTTTAAATCAAAAGCAGTTGCGACTTATTTCTGGTATCCAACACCACATTCTCCGCGAAAAACTATTAAATTCGGTGACGTTTCTCATTGTGTAGGCATCTGTTGCGTCTCTCTCTTCCAAGCAACAACTAGATTTCATGACAGTTGAACACCGGACATTGGACTAATTAGTACAGCATCCCCACTTGGAAAATTGCGAAATAGTAAACGAGATGAGTTAAATTTCAGACAAACACAAATGGTGGCGTCGAGTCGCCGCTTAAGGTTCTGCTATAATGGATTGTCTCGCCACGTGTCTCCTGCTTGCTACAGAAAACAGTTGCTTACTCTTTGTGTCCCTTTGCCCTTCCTCTTCAGGGGAAGACAGAATTCTTTTTCACAGCACTAAAACTGCAACTCTTATGAGGAATATGTGCTTTTAATTTCCACCCATTTTCTTCCTTTCCTTTATTCCTCTTATTAGTACTTTAAAAGTGAAATTTATAATTCATAAAACGAAAAAGATCATTATTCCCGTCATATTTTTGTATCTGTACTAGCAAACGGCTCAAAACGGTTGAATTTTTTTGTGCAACGACAGGCTAATAATTAAAGCTAGCTCTTCTCTTCTCTCTTGTTTCTCGGCCGATTACGACTTGAGTTTGCTTCTGTAATTCGCTTGAACATGCTTTGTTCTATGGAATTTGGATGTGATTTGGGAAGAGAACTCGAGTCTAATTAATGTTCTCGTTAAAATTTACATTTTCCGACTATCAAAATCGATTAAAACAAAAGTGGGAGAAGAAGAGGGGGGGGAACAGTGGAAAATCTCACTCTCTGCAAAGAGAGACCAAATTAAAAAGGTTAAAGAAACTAACAGCTAAGCTCACTGGTTTAATTTTGGTCTGGGGTTGGTTGGCTGTCATGGTTCTCGTGGTTTTCGGAGTTCTCTGTTATTGTTGGCAATTGATCATTGCCATCATCACCACCCATTTCTTCTTTCACTTTCTCGCCGCTTTCGGGTTTCTCTGATCCTTCTTTGTCCTCCAACTTACCGTTTTTATCACCGAACGAGGAAGCTTTAGTGCTTACAGGGGTAGCCAAGAACGTGGGCTTTTCCTCACCGGCCATTATAACCAGAATCTTCTCCTCGTAAACCTTCACCGGCTTCGTAGACTCATCCTCGTTTTCACCACTTTCGACATCCCTTTCGGCGTCGCCTCCTTCACCGTGGTTGTCCAAACGACCAGGAAGTCGCCAGTAGGAGCAAGCTAAGATCAAGAGAGCAAAAGCAATGAGACCCAGCATCGCTGCTAGGCCTCCGAAGAGGTAGGGCACGGGCGAGTGCCATGGAGAGCGTGGCTGCGCCGTTGCCGGCGGTGACAATGAGGGCATACTTGCTGCTTCTACTGTGTTACCGCTGTTGATAGGCCTCATCTTATAGTGTTTCTTTATAGACTTCGATTTTCTCGTTAATGGGGAAGGTGGTGGTTTGGTTGAGGTAGAGGAGAAGAAGGTGAAGAGTGTGAGCATGCAAAACTGAGAAGGTGAGGACTGTTATTTATAAGCAGGGAAAGTGAGGGAAATAAAAAAATACTTTTTTTTAAAAAAAAAATCTGTGTTTATTAGGTTAAGGTCACGGACTTGGCCCTTGTTGTTTTTCACTCTAAACAACGATGGCAGCGATGTTGGCTCAGATCCTTCGCATCCGGGAAGTGACCCTAATGGACCATGGTGCGTTGTGGTCGAACCTCAAGGCGAGAGAAACGTGGGTCCAGAATAACCACCAATGGCAGCTACGTGTCATGGGAGTATAAGCATATTAGGCATTAGCATTTTCCATGGACAATTTTGTTTATTGGTTTTTGGCCATTAAGATTTTAAAATAGTACACTAAGCTTAAAAAGTTTCCTTATATCTAACCCGATCTGAAAGTTGGTGGATGCTGATTCTATTATTTCATTTCAAATCTTTAAAGAGTTAAAACAAATGCCGGGATTAGTTTATAAATGAATTGTATTTATATTATATATCTCAATTATGCGGATGCGGATTTAGGATTTATGATTTAGAGATTCGAACTTAAAATTTATTTATTTATTATTAATATGAGTTAAGTATAGTATAATATCTCAATTATTTGACATTAAAAGCTCTTTCCTAATATTTTTTGTGCCCGAGTTTGGAATCTCAAAGAATAACAAAATTTCTTTTACTATTGAGATTGCTTGATTGATGCTTAGAGCTTAAAATTTAAAACATATAATTTAAGTTCATTCAAATATGTCAATACTTATGGAATTTAAATTTTACATTATAGTTTTCTATAATAGGTTTGTATCTTATGCATTATCAATAAATTATAGTGTGTTTCAAAAAAATAGATTATAGTAAAGTATATCTTTAATAGATTAATAACTATTCTTTAAAAGTACTAAAAGTAAATATAGACGTTAAGTTTGGGGTATTTACGAGGGTCTAAAGCTAGTTTGAGCCAAAGGTCTTGATCGCATTGTGGTGCAAACAGACAGCTCTAATGTTCTCGTTCTCCTCTCCTCGCCAGCCTCGGAGAACCCATTCTCCCTTGTTTGCCACATTGCTATACTGTGCTCTAAAAGTTGGACTGTTGAATTTTCGGCTATCCGAAGGAAAGCAAATTTCGCTGCTGACCATATGGCCAAGCTCCCGACGTCAAATGATCTCCTGCTTAATATCTACGATACACAGCCAGACTCTTATTGATACCTTGCATGGGGACCTTAATGGACCCTTCACGTTCGCATGAACGCTTGATTCTCTATTCATAAAATATAAATCCCTTAATCCAATATATATTATCTTCTGCAAAAATGCAAATCTCAAATTCTTCTTACTAAAACTCCTAATGTTCAGTGCCCAAAATTTGTCTATTCAAGCTAGATTCATGTTAATCCAAAAGGGCATCGATGCTTCAAGTGCCACACAACATGAGTATACGTAAATAAGATCAAAGAAACAAATCTCATGGCCGTGTTCTTAAGATGGAATAAAAAAAATCAATCGATTTGGATATAATCCGCTGACGTTGCTGCTACTTGCTGACAGAAAATGAAAACTTGATTTATTGTGCTTGATTGTGAAACAACATTCTTTAGTCGAACCAAGTATATAATTATGGTAGCAGCATATTGACTTAGTTGCTGATGACACTAATGATAATACTCGGGAGATTGTGGTTTGTAAATAGACCCTTCCTTTATTCATGCCAATTTGTCAAATAAATATTATAATAATTAAAGACAATTGATTGTTTTTTAGAAAATAGAGTGCATTGTTCTTTACTTTCAAAGCATAAGATGATTGAAAAAGAGTGTTCAATTAATCCACTGTGCAAGTAATTATAGGAGGGAGGGAGGGAGACACTTGCATCTTTGATGTACACCTCGGGGGGTCTATACCATATCTTAGGGGCACTAAGTACAATTTGCTGAACTCAACCACAATCATTTAATTAATACTAATAAAGAAGATAAATAATGGAAGCATTAACTTTGTGGGTGAAGTGGGTGGCAATGGGGATGCCAACAATATATTGTGGCTTTCCATTCATTTCGTGCTCAATAGCTTTGTCATTTATTCTCATTACGTTCCCTATCTTACATTAGCTGTACCGATTAGCATTTAATTAGATTGGTCGGAAAGAACCAAACGGTCAGGTTTTTTCTTTCAAATTGAACACAGCATGTCAATGCCAAAAGTATCTGTTTGCATGCATGGTTTAAAAGAGTCAATGACATGTGAAGTGTGCAAAGACCAAATGAGTCCAACCTGGACATTAAGTGAAGCAAATTTAGTTGAGTCACAGGAAATAGGTTAATTAGCCCGTGAAATCTAGTTGGACCAACGATTGCATTTGCAGCAGCCACCAAACCCTTATATTGGTCATTGGTAAACTCATCATTCTGACAATGATTTTGCATTGACTAGCATTGATTGACGTCACGGTCGCCACTAAGTTATTCACAGATTACAGGTAAGGGAAGATATTTGACCAGTGTTGGTCTATTGCGTTTCGGCCTCAGCTTCAACTACGAGGGTAGTGGTAAATAATTAAACCAAGTGATGGGTGGGGTCATTGTCGCTGATGAAAGTAACCCAACGACATGAAATATGGTAATGAGCGTCCCGTTCCGATTCCTATCTGTCATTGGTACATTAGTTATACTGTTCAGAATGACCCAACTTTTCCTTTTCGTACTGTTGCAACCGTCTTTCGGTTGAGCTTTGGAATTGGGCTTGAACTTGAAAAATGTGGATTGGAGTCGCTACCGATCATTTATTTAAAACAAATGGGTTGATCGGATACCCTATTTCTTACCTGATCTGCGTCTTCCCAAAGATGTGTCAGGTTCGGGAGTCGGTTACGGTCAAGAAAGGATTAGCACCCTTGAACCGTCATTTCGATACTACGTAATTTCCAGTTGTCTTTGATTAAGAAAATTGCAAGTTAAATTAAAAGGTAAAATTTGATCCGAATTACTTACCCTTAATGTGTTTACGGAAATACCCTTAAAAAATAAGATTTTAAAAGAAAATAATAATAATAAAAGAAAGTAACAAAACTAAAGAGTAAACTAAGGAAATAAATGAAACCAATAATAATAAACATAAAATAATTGGATAAAAAAAATGAAATTGAATAAAATAAAATAAATGAAGATAAAATATATATACAAAAAGAATAAAAAAGGTAAAGTATTTTTTTTTTAAAAAAAGAAAAATAATAATAAGAACAAAAAATTAAAATTATAATGAAAATAAATAAATAGTATAAATAAAATAATAAAAAAAATATATAAAAATATAAAAATGTATGTATAATATAATAAAATACTAAATAGTAATAATAATAATAAATAAATGAAAAATAAATATACATATAATATTAACTAAAAAAATAGTAATCATAGAAATATAAAATAAAATAAAGTAAGAATATATATATATATAACGTTAGGAAAATATAGTAAAAAAATATAGTAAATAAGTAAACATAGATAAAAATAATAATATAATATATATATATAATAGGAAAATAATATAATATAACGCAAAGAAAAATGAAAAAAAAAATTATAACAAATAAATAAATAAAATATATACATATAAATAATAAGGGTTAAATTAAAATAAAAAATGAATTAGGGGTCAAAATTAAAAGTCAAACGAAGAAAAAAACGATAAAACACGCGGATCCACACGACCCGTTTATAAAAATCCGAATAGTTTTTCAAAAACACAAGCCTCGGGGACTAGATCTACAAAAATAGATCTCGAAAACGCCTCGTTCATCGGCCAAAAACACTTCTCTCAGTTTTCTTTCGAAATCAAAACACAGCAAGGGTAAGGAAAAATAACATGCGAATGTATGAATTTTACCTTTCAAAATATAAATGCTTCGAAAAATGGCTACGAGTTGCTTGTAATTTTTTGCTTGGTATTTCGTATATCCTCATCCGAATCTATTACAATAGTGAGTTACAATGACTATTTATAATGTTTGTGGATCCTATCTTTAGGAGTTTAAATAATAGTAGAACTCTATCATATTTTTAGGAGTTTGAATCCTAGTAAAATTTTATCCTATTTTTAGGAGTTTGAATCCTAGTAGGACGAAAAGGTGTGTTGACAGCTGCCCCTCTTTGCCCATAGTCATGTAACGGGGATAGGACAAAGATTAAAAGACACACTTTTCGTTCAGTGGAGTTGAAAATTAACTCTGATGTTTCAATAACTCCCTGTCGAATTGAGTTACGGATGACTCCTCCATCGTGAAGTCGAGTTCATCTTGAAATGATATGAAATTGAAGCCGTAGTTCGGAATTTGAATTAGCACGTGGCTTCCCGTTGCCCTTCGGTCTTCTTCTCGGTTTAAAGACCTTGGATCGGAATCGAACTCAAAAATCTTCATTTACAGATAGATTTTTCTTGACTTAAGTTATGCTTCTTGAAAATGGTTGCTTGTCACTCAGGCACGGTTAACCCAGGTCTTCTTCTCGACTTGAAAACCTCGACTGTAACCGAAAAGTAGTGCAATTGATGTGTCATCGAGCTGAATGAAATCGAACTCGACAATTTTGATGGCAAATAACCCTTCTAGCCTTGAGTTATGCTGTAAATGATGTGCCTTGGAGCTAAGCGTAGTCGAACTCGAAGGTCTTTGTTGACAGATAATCCTTCTTTGAGTTGGATATCCCTTTTCGGGAATTTGAAATCCAATCTAAAGATGGATGATACTTGTGTGCACGATTCCCTTCGTCGTGAAGTTGAAACCGCGGGTGGCCCATTCGTCGTGAATTTGAGCCTGGAATTGGATATCCTTCGTCGTGAAGTTGAAATCCAAGTAAGTAGCATTGTTCCGAGTCCAATATCCTCCGTCGTGAAGTTGAAATTGGCTCTGGAATCGGGAAATTGTTTGTTGACAACCAGTCGTCCCTTCGTTGTGAAGTTGAACTTGTGTTGTATCGAGTCCAATATCCTTTGTTGTGAAGTTGAAATTGGCTC